AATCGCATCAGTGCAAGAAGTGAAGAGGTGACGCGATAGACCAAGTGAAAAGGAACACTCCAGTCGACCTCTTACAGCATTAGGTTCGAGATAGACCAATTGAAGAAAGAAATGCAAAAAGAAATAGAGGGTCTCAAAAAGCAGTACAAAGCTCCGAACCAGGTGGATTTCTCCGAGTGCGATGAACCACCGTTTATCCAGAAGATCCTCGATGACTCCATACGATGACTCCGTACGATGGGTCGGGAGACCCTGTCTCGTACGTCGAGATCTTTGAGGGGAAGATGAACTTTCTCGCAGCCAGTGACGCGATCAAATGCCGCATCTTCCAGATTGCTCTAGGAGGCTCAACTCGGCTTTGGTACAGACAGTTGAAATCAAAGTCTATCAGCAGCAGCTGCACAAAATATTCATCAACTAGTTCTCAGCTTGTCAGCTGATGAAATTACCTGCATCCCACCTTGGCACAGTCAAACAACAGGCTTGAGAGTCCCTGATCAACTATACTACTCGGTTCATAGACGAGCATGTGAAAGTTATGAATTGTACTAACGAGATGGCGATCATCTACTTCACCATCGGGCTGAATGACAAGACTCTGGTGGTCAAGCTCAGCAGCAATCTAGCTACCTCCTTAAATGAGCTCCTCATCTGAGCTTGGAGGTATATTGATGGCCTAGAGCTGTGGAAGGCTAATGGTGGGAAGCGATATAGCCGAAACGACAAGTCTCAAAAGCGGCGGGATGATGACCCGAGTTTAACTCGTTGAACCAAAGACAAGTTGAACCGCCGCGACGACAGTCGATCCAATTCCAAACGAGGTCCTCGGTTCGACAAGTATACCCCTATGAACAAACCCATAGCTGAGATATTAGCAGTTGTGAGGAAGGTGGGTTTGAGAATTTACTCTCCCCGCTTGGGAAGACCCGGAAGCCCGAGGCAAAGAAAGACGAAGGTAAATATTGTCGCTTCCACAAGGACCACGGTCATGACACATCAACTTGTTATGTGTTGAGGGATCAGATTGAAGACCTGATCCACCTAGGTTACTTAAAGAAGTATGTTGGCTCATGCAGTAGAGACGAGCCGACCAAATCTAATAAGGAAGATCACAGGGAGAGGACCCGGTCGCTACATCGGCATACYAGGGATCGACCTGCAATAATTAACATTATTGCCGCAGGGTCCATCGAACGCCGGTCCGAACAAAAGCACAAGGCTCTGCAGAGAGGCAGCACACGAAGTTTGCACCTCATACTCGAAAGAGACGACCTTTCCAATTATGTTCGACGAACAATATACCGAGGGCGTCCATCTACCTCACAACAACATCCTGGTCATCGCCTCCATGATTGACCACGTGATGGTCAAGCGAATCCTGATTGACGGAGGGGCCTCGACTAACGTACTATCCATGTCGGTATATTCGGCTTTTGGCTGGGAGCGAGCTCAGCTCAAGCCGAATCTTACGTCGTTGGTCGGATTCATTGGAGAATCAGTAACCGCTGAGGGTTGCATCTCACTCCCGGTCCCCTCAGCGAGGAGGAGCATCAGGTCACCTCAATCGTTGAATTTGTGGTGATTGATCGCACATCGGCCTACAATGATATATTAGGCCTACCCTTCATACACCAATTGAAGGTGATCCCTTCAACTTATCATCAAATGATGAAGTATCCGACTGCTGTTGGGATAGCCATCGTCCGAGGCGAGGAGAAGATGTCGAGAGGGTGTTATGCCATAGCATTAAAAGGCTCAGCCACATGTGCAGCCATCACAACTGAGGTCCCGCCGCCGGATAAGCCGACCCGTGGGACGCTAGCAGAAGAACTAGAGCTTGTGTCGCTCCTGAGCCCAAACAAGCAAGTTAGCATCGGCACTAAGGTGGGGGCAGAGACAAAAACTGAACTCATCAACTTCCTACGAGCAAATGTCGACGTCTTTGCATGGTCGACCCGAGCATCATGGTACATAGGATAAATGTATATCCCTCTTTTAGACGTATAAAGTAAAAGCGTCGGCCTGTCAATGCTGAGTGTAGTTTTGTAATAAGTAAGGAAGTTGAGAAGCTCTTACGAGCTGATTTTATAAAAGAAGTTCACTACCCCGCGTGGGTCTCTAATGTTGTATATTAGTTAAAAAAAGTTAACGGTAAATGGCGCGTCTGCATCGACTTCACTAGCCTGGACAAAGGTTGTCCGAAAGATAGCTTCTCTCTACCTCGGATAGATCAGCTCGTCGATGCCACCGCCGGACATGAGCTATTAACATTTATGGACGCATACTCAAGCTATAACCAAATCAAGATGTATGTACATGACCAGGAGCACACCTCATTCGTTACCGACTAGGGGCTCTACTGTTACAAGGTCATGTCGTTCGACCTGTAGAACGCAGGAGCCACTTATTAGCGGATGGTGAACTTGATGTTCACCAAGCAAATCGATAGAAACATGGAAGTATATGTTTGTTGGGTTTTATGCCTTAAACTTGTAGTTTGTAAACATAAAACAAATATTCATTCAATAAAGTTGTTATTGATGTTTCTCTTAGAATAACATTAACCCAAATCCAATAAACTAACATCTTAGGTTATGTCCTGTAACTAGAACAGTATATAACAGATATACAGTATATATTTGATATACAACGTATATATTTGATATACAGTGTATATATAGTATATATTCAATATATATGTGTATAATGTTCCAGTAGTAACCTAAAGGATTTATAGTATATGGATAAGGTTGAGTACCTTATCTTGGTAACATTGTGGATACAGCCCACTTTGTAATAGTTACAAATGACTTGATCCAGGTCGTTCGTGTAGAGACATGTGAGTGGGAGTATCCTACACAATGAGTTTGTATAAGACCGGACCATGAAATAATGAATCTTTAGCTGTAACACCATTAGCTAATAGATTAATATTTCAATAGGATGACCGGGTAACTCGATCTCAATCCTGAGTGAGTCATGGACTCTTGCCTGTTAAGGCTCATGATTTGTATGGGTAAGAGTGGCCTGAGTCGCCGACTCAATATTCTTACTATTTTGGGGACAAGACCGAGTGTGGAGCTGGAAACATAACTACACAAGATGGAATTTACTACTTCCTGACTTTAGGGTAAGTAGATGAGTGTGTTGGGTGTGTTGCCCTAAACTCGTAATTTGTAT